CACATAGTTGAAACAAAAAATCTTCAATGTAGATTATTTTTATTTTTCCATAATGTTTCTGCAATAATTTTCCTAATGTTCACCAAAAGTTATCCATCAGTTATCTTTCTTGTTTCCATGTCACCTAATTCACTATAAGAATTTGTGTTGCCATTTTCGGTGTGTCCCACTGATTCTACAAATTAAAGAATCCTCCATTTTTCCTTCCAAACTCTAAATGTCCTCTCAATAACATAACGTAAAGATCCATGCCAACGATTAACAATTCTTGCTTATTCCGAGGAGGATTAGCATTGTCGAACTGTGACATATGATACCGAACAACCATGTTTCGTGAAAATATGTAGGGAGAAAGAAAACCTTGTTTATTAGGATAGCCATAATCAACTACATAATGCTTATCAGTCAGAGGCAAAGGAATTTTAGAATCCGAGAACTGTTGTATCATGACAAGATTCCGGTGCTCCATTCCAAACATATGTGAACAACATGTTCAAGTCATATATGGCCATAATGTTGAACGATATTCTATCATGTCGATAATTCCAGTACATTCCTTATAATTCAGGTTTGACATTAACACATACGTGAACCCCATCCATTGCTCCAACAAATCCACTAAAATATGGGAAATATTGCGAGAACTGCAGTCGTTCGGGAATCCTGCGTAGTTCGTGGCTTGTTGGAATGTTGAAAAAATCACAAGCAAGTAACTCAGTCGCTCTAAGCTCTTCAAAGAATTTCCTCTTCATTGTTTTTTGAGTTCGTCCAAATTGTAATCCAACATGCTTTTGAACTTCGTTGTGTCCACATATCCGTAGAAACATGGCCGCACTTTTTCACTCCTACCAATCAATGTTGGTTGTAATCCATAACTTGTTTCTAATGTATCACACAATGTTCTGTAACAACCAAGTGACATTCGTAGTAACTGAAGGCAAGAAAATCAAAGTTTTATTTATCCATATCATTGCGTCTTGTTAAAGAACACGCTATTTTATTTTTTTCATGTCATTGATTTGTTCAGTTGCTGTCGTTGTCGCTACCGCAGCGTCATGTAAAAGAACATGGCCACTCTTTCCCAAGCGCTTGTTAACCATTCTCTCCGTACTATTACTATAATTTCTATAAGGTTATGTACTTCATAAATGTTCATGTGCCATTTCCGCAACATGCTCTTTTTATCTAAAAATAGTTGAAGTTATTTTCAGAGTAAGAATAATACGAGCAACAAACATTTATATTATACATTTGCTTTAACAAACAAAAAAATCATACATTTGTTATGGTCAAAAATTACGTCCAATAGTTTTCTTTTAGTAAAACTCTAAAGACTGTTTGACTAAAAAAGAAGAAGAAACTCTTAAAGGATCTCTCCCTCCTCAAGGTCATCGACTCTCATAGCATCAGCGATTTCTAAATCAGTCTCTTCCTGCTAATCATCATCTGTAACAAACATGGCCGCACATTCGTAGTAAAGTGGCATGATCTTCTTGTAATCGATGCCAAATATTTTTCCATCCAAAGCCGTTCTCTGTTTGGACGGGTCGTCTTTCAAAGTACCGATTATAGTAACTCAATGCTGGTTGAATTATTAACTCTTCAAATTAGTCATTCTCCAAATTCCACAACTCAATTCTCTCTTTGTAATTTAGAAACTGAATTCCTTGTGACTGTAACTGACATATACAGAAAGCCTACAATTGAATAACACAAAAAAATAAAAGCAAAATTAGATTCATAAAAAGATAAATGACATGAACCAGTAACATATAGTAAGTTCAATAGATTATAAAAGCATAAAACAAAACAAGACATAATCGTTACAAACATATCACACAATTTACTAAGTTCAATTTACTAAGAAGGATTGATACATGTAGTCGTTCCTCATCCTCTTCAAC